CACCCTACCCACCCCCTTACCCACCCCCTTACCCACCCCCTTACCCCTACCCACCTTACCCCCCCCCCCCGACACTGCAGGGCGATTACCAGGCGTTTCCTCCGCCGAGGGCGTCGCATTCGGCCGCATGCCCGGCCGCGAGGGGCACCGCGCATTGTGGTATGCAGCACTCATTGCTGCGCGCATTGAGAGCAGGCCGCGTGCCCGGCCGCGAAGGGGACGTCCCGTCGGTGGGCGAGTGGGCGGAGCTGCTCAACGCGTGGTGCGCTCCCCCGCTTGCCACAAAAGCTAGATGGAGTTTTCACCCCCCCCCCGCCCCCCCTCCCGCCCCCCCCCTTTGGGAGAGACTAGGGACAGCAACCGCCCGTACCCGTGCACGAAAAGAGACGACCCCCCCCCCCCCCCTCTCGTGTGTGTGGGTGGAAGCTGCAGACCTCTCCTTGCCTTAGGGGCGGCGCGTCTCGCCTCTCGCCTTCCTCAAAGCCCTCTGCGCCGCCGACGAGCTTGGCGGCGGCGGCGGCGGCGGCGGCGGCAGCGGCGGCGGCGGCGGCGGCGGCGGCGGTCCGTCGCGAGAGGAGCTGCTAGCGCGCAACACGCTGGCGAACTTGATCCGGCGCAGAGGCACAGCGGTGCATCCGGGCAACACGTCCACGACACGTCCGAGACACGTCCCGCAGGTGACCACCATTCGACCGGATGCTCGGGTAATCTCGGCCAATCTCTCCTCGGGTATACTCTTGGACACTCTCGGACTAGGCGAACCGGATCCGATGGATGCTCAGAGAGACGATGGGTGCCGACGGGGCGAGCTCGAGATGGCCCGAGATTCATGGCCGAGATTCACCGAGATCGCGCGCCGAGCACAGGCGCCGACGGCGAGTTCGAGCGCCGGCGGGCGGAGCTGCAGCTGCTTGGCGGCGGCGGCGGCGGCGTGGGCGACGATGCGGTCTGCGAGTCGTTTGTGTCTTCGGCGCGCGGCCGGGCGGCGTCGCATGCACGGCCTTCTTCTGTGAGGGCGGAGTGGTGAGTGGTTGCTAACGCGCGGCTAGGTGCGGCCGGGAGGCTTCATGCACGACCTTCTGCACGAGGGGCAGCTGGCCGCCATCCACGGGGGGAACCTGCTCGTGCATGGAGGCAAGTTCCTAGACACTTCCTAGACACTTCCTAGCCATCCACGGGGGGAACCTGCTCGTGCATGGAGGCAAGTTCCTAGACACTTCCTAGACACTTCCTAGCCATCCACGGGGGGAACCTGCTCGTGCATGGAGGCGCCCGTCCGGTGGCAGCTCAGTGACCTTCCTTCCTGGTCCCCCCCTCACGTCCACGCCCGACTCAGATCTCACCACTCACATCCACGCTTAAGCGGATGCTCGTGCACGGATGCGCCCCTGTAGTAGCAGTACCTCTGTAGTAGCAGCTCGGACTGTTCCCACCTTCCACAGCCACATCTCTAGCCAGCTCTCCAACTCCGAGTGTCGAGCTCGCGGCGGTTGAGACCGCGTGATCTCCTCGAGGCTCCATCCTTCCCCAAGGCCAGTTCCGTCGTGTGAGACCAGCCGCAGACCGGGCACCCTACCCACCCCCCTACCCACCCCCCTACCCACCCCCTTATTTTCCCCCCCCCTACCCCCCCCCCCCGACACTGCACGGCTACTACCATGCGTCTCCTCCGCCGACGGCGTCGCACTCGGCCGCATGCCCGGTCGCGAGGGGCACCGCTTCATTGTGGTATGCAGCAGTCATTGCTTCGCGCATTGAGAGCAGGCCGCGTGCCCGGCCGCCAAGGCGACTTCCCGT